CTGTTAGTGTCATAGGGACATCCTTGCATCCTGTATCCTTCACATCGTGCGCACCAATCCCATCTCCCCATTTTCTAGAGCTGCTCTGAGGTCTCAGGTGGGCTGGGGTCGGGGGTGGATGGGTCCCATGTGTGGAGTTTGATTCACGGCAGGAGGCCTGTTGGGAGGGGCAGCTGGTGGAAGTGCATGGCCAGCAGCCTCTTCTCAGCCTTCACAATCACCAAAAATCCCAAACCAAACTGAAACAAACCTCAGGAAGCTGTAAAGGAAGGCATTAGCAAGACGCTTGTGACTAGGAAAGGTTTAGAACTTAGCCCATGACCCAAAGTGACCTGGGTTCCCACGTTCTAGCCTAGTCACAGGACACCCTGGGACAGAGGGGCAGACAGGCCGGGGAGTCAGTCGGGTGTGGTGGTTAGCGCAGACTTTGCTGAATGCCCAGGAAAGACTTCTTGGAGGTGGAGGCATGGGGTCTGGGCTTTGTAGGATGAGGTTCGGTGGAGCACCCAGGAGAAGGTGACTCTGGATACAGCCTGCAGCATAGGCAAAGGCCGGGAGGTGGGAAACGGCATGAGTGGGGACGTGCTCGCTGGTCGCGAATGTGCTTCATGTGTGTGCATGGTGCCACTATGGGCGTGCATGCACACATACTGCCAACCCAAGTCCACTCTGCGCAGGTGCACATATGGCTTAGGAGCGGTGTGAATGGCAACCATTGTGATGGTTCCTGATGATGAAGTGCCAGGCTCTGGACGCCCCTTCTGTGGGTCGCCTCACCTTCCAGCCCTCCCATCCTACCAATGAGGAAAAGGAAGCTCACGCAGGCTACCCAGCTTGTCAGGGACGCCACCCACCCATGGGGCCCTGAAGCACTCAGGCCTCTTACCCAGCCTAGTCACTCTTTCTTTACGTGCAGTGCTGAACCTCTTTAAGCTGGCCTCCCCCAATGGCACAGGAGAGACTGAGGGGTGGGACAGCTTTGAACACCAGGACACAGAAACACTCTAGGCAAAGTCGAAGCAGAGACCCGGGGCCTCCAGGTCAGGGCAACCACACCTCAGCGGTCTGAAGTCTCTGCTCTCTGAGATGGGGCTGGGGGGCTTGGAGCCCGGCGGCACTGAGCAGGGGCAGTGGGGTCGTCGGAGGCGCCCTCAGGACCCCGGGCTCCTCTCCCCAGCATCTCCACGGGACGCCAGCCCTGGGCCCGTCTACTTCCTGGACCCGAACGTCACCCGGTTTGGCCGGAGCTACAGCCCCGCCTACTCCATGCAGGGCCGGGGCAAGTCTCGGGGTGAGTATCTGACAGTATCCTGCAGCGGCTCTCCTTCCCTCCCATCCCCGAGTTCTTCAGTGTCTTAGGGATGACAAAATCCTAGGGACTCAGAAGAGGGGCCGGGGACCGAGAGAACCTGTGTGACGTGGGCCGGGGGTGGTGACGTCACACATGGTACCACGAGACAGTGCGCGGCGTGGGTACTGGCATATGCGCCAATCCCCTCCATGGGCTCCAAGCAGCTCATTTTCTCCCAGCGTGCCTCATTTAATTACCTGGATCCAGTCTCCCATACCCCTGCCCATTCATCTTTTGACCTACCATCCACCCGCTGCTCCACCGACTGATCCATCAACTTACCATCCATTCATTCACCCATTTATCCACCCACCAACCTACCCAGACACCCACCTGTTTATCATACAATTTGCCAATTGATTCATTGATTCATCCATCCTCTCATCCATGATCTAGCCACTGGTAATCCATTTTATCAGTCCACCTATCTACACACCCACATGTCCATTCATCTACTCATTCACTCCTCACCCACCCACTCAAACATGGATCAAGCCAAATTCTGGGGAGCAGAAGCAGATACGGCATGTCCTTGCTTCTTCGAGACCTCAGCCAGATGGGGACCATCCCACCTCAATGTGGCCATGTCTGGGGACAGGGGCCGCCCCAGCCACTAGCATCCAGTGGGGCCGTGAGGGCTCTTCCCCGGGGGAGGGTGTGGGGAAGGCAGCAGAGAGGAGGGGCCTTTAGGGTTGCCTTGAAGGCTGACAAACAGCCCCCCATCACCGAGGTAGAAACAGAAGGCATGCCTGGCAGAGGGTTGAACTCGGGCAAAGGCCTGGAGGCTTGAAAGAGAGCCCGCTCTGGGGGGAGGCTGGGGAGGGGGCAGCCACGCAAGGCACGACCGGTGAGGGCGCTGTCCACTGTCAACCCTCCTCCCCCATTCTCACAGGTCAGGAGGTGACACCAGGCCCTGGCACCTACAGCCCAGAGAAGGTGGCTCCTGTGCACCAGCGGACACCCCCAGCTTTTACCCTGGGCTCCCGCTTGCGCCCTCAGCCCCTGGACACCTCAGCCCCTGCCCCTAACACCTACACCCTGCCATCCCTCTGGGGCTCCCAGATCTTCATCAAGCCCAGGAGCCCCAGCTACACTGTGGTGGGCCGCAGGCCTCCTGCCCGCCCCCCACAGGACCCTGCTGAGATACCAGGGCCGGGCCAGTATGGTAGTCCAGACCCCAGTGCCTACCGGCAGCGCCAGCCAGCCTTCACCATGCTGGGGCGGCCCCGCGCCCCCCGTCCCCCAGTGGAGACACCCGGGCCTGGCAGCCACAGCCCCGAGCAGGTCACCGTGACGAAAGCCAGAGCCCCAGCATTCACCATGGGCATCCGCCACCCCAGACAGGCTGCCGCCATGGCCGCAGACACCACGCCATGACGCCTCTGGGCCGAGCCTGGCTTCCCACGCAGTGAGGTGGGGTGTGGGCAACCCCTGCTGGGCCTGGCTTTGGCTGGGGGCTCACAGAAATGGGGGTGGGCGAACAGCACCTCCTCCCTCCCTTTTGGAACTATCTGAGGTCCTTCCAGGCCACCTACTTCCCCGAGTCCCTGGGGGCTGTGACCCTGTGGCTCTGTGCAGGGTGAGCCTCTTTCCAGCGCCCCAGTTTCTACTCTCCTGGTCATGCCAGGCCAGGCAGAGAAAGGGACGCCCACACCCACACCCCTCTCCTGCGGCTGGCCAAGAGGGAGCTTCCTGTGGCCTAGAACTCCGTGTCCGCCCTGCCGGGCCTGGGTCCCCACACAGCTCCAGTTTCTGCCAAACCCGGGCTCTTCCCTGCTTCTGCTGGAAGTACAGCTGCCTGCCTGGTCCCAGCCCTGGTGCCCCTCCCTCTAGCTGCTTGCCAATAAATCTCTCTGTGGCACCCAGAGCTGTCAGCATCGCAAACACATCCCTCTAACCTGCTGTCTGTTCGTGCCACAGGAAGGAGACCTGAGCACTGCTCTCCAGATAGACCTCCAACTCCGCAGCCCCTGGGGGTTGGATGGGACCAGAGGAGGGTTCCAGGGTTGGGGGAGGCCAGAAGCAGAGCCAGAGCTTTCAGTGGGCAGAGCCAGGTGGGCTTATTGGAAGAGGAGACATTGAAATTGGGTTTTGAAGGATGTGGAGGAGTTTGATGTATTCTAACATCCGTCATCAGTAGGTGCCTACCATATTCCAGGTATGGATGAAAATCATCTAAGCTTCACAGCCATTCAGGGACAGGTGATGTTTACCAAGTGGAAATGGGTCTTTGGAGACATCGGACACTTATCTGAGGTCACACTGTGAGCCCTCATGTCTGTGCGATGCCAGGATTTGAATCTTGGCCATTGGGCTTTGTTCCTCCCATTCTTTCCTAGGGATGGAAAGGAAATACGTGGGTCATGACAGTGTGAAGACACCTGGGCCCAGGCCTTATAAACCCCTGACCAAGAAAGACCTAACTCCTCAGCTCAGGAGGGACAGACTGCGACTGCGTCTCCCTGGAGGAGATGGCCCACAGGGCAGCTGCAGGCTGCACCCAGAGGAGTCCTGGGTGGGCACCAGCACTCTCCTTGGCCTGGGGGCCCTAACCAACACATGCTTCTTTCCCCAACCAGTCATCCACACCAGGACCTTCCCACCACCACCACACACACCTGGACGCATCAGGACCCCTACACACACATTTGGGGGGACCCCAGAAGCTTTCTCCATGCGGACCACACAGCCCTCATACAGTCCACGCCTATGCGGACCACAGTAGACACGTTCAGATGCCGGACCTGAGCCCGAAGGAGCGGTACCCCGCGCAGACCCACGGTGACGCCCTCCCTACGCGGCTTGCCTGGAGCCGCAGACGCCGGCGCGCGCGTAACGCCACTGGCCCCACCGCACCCTCTGGCCAATCGCGGCCGCGCGCGCCTCCCCCCACCCTCCTCCACCGGCCGGGACGTGATCTCATTTCTCTGATTTATCGATCGGCTCCGGGAGGCCTCGCCCCTCCTTCCCCACCTGCCCGCGCGCCACAGCCCCCTCCCTTTGTTTCCCGGCAGTCAGCCGTGCCTGGGGCTGTGGCGGGGGGCCGGGCCGGGCGCTGGGTGACCGTGACAGCTCGTCCGGGTGCAGAAGGAATCCACCCCTGGGCTTGGGTGGGAGACCGAGAGGCTGGGGCCAGAGGGGCAGGCGGGCCTGGGAGACCGAGGCCCGAGTTCAGTTGGGTCGATGATGGACAGGGCTCCCCAGAAGTGAGGGTCCCCTTGACCCTCTGGGACGTGCCCCTGGCTTACAGCCTGAGAAACTGAGGCCCAGGGGATGCAGCAGACGAGGGTCTCGGTTACCGAACCTTAGCCAGGGTGGGCACTCCTGGGTCCGGGCCTCTGCCACGTCCTTGCGCGCACTCCTTAGGAAATAGAGCAGGGCGCGATTTTCAAGTACCTCCCGGCTGGAACAGCAGGAAGGGAGTGAGGGAGGGGGTTGGCCTTAGGGTTTGGGGCTCTCTCCTTCCCTGACCACGCCTCTGCCTCCTCCCGGCCTCAGTTTACCCGTCAGTCAAAAAGGGAAGAAGGGAGGTGATTTCGAAGTCCCCCCACGTGTGTACTTCTAGGAACTTAAAGGCAACGCGTTGGGGCGAAGCAGGGCGTCGCTGCTCGGGTCCTGGGTTGGCAGCATCTCTTCCTGCCTGGCTACCGGAACCCAGTCAGCCCGAGCCCTCGGCGGGCCTCAGTTTCCCCAGCCTCCCCGCCAGGCGCCGGGAGGCCGAGGGCCGGGGTCCCAGGGGCGCAGCCCCCCGCGGCTGCGCGCTGGGCCTGGAGGATGACATCACCGGGCCGGGGGCGGGGAGGAACGGGAGGGAGCGGAGGGCCTCCTCCGCGCCAGGCGCAGCGCCCGGTCGGGCTCGGTCGGGCGGCCGCGGCCATGACGCAGGGTCCCGGCGGGCGCGCGTCCCCCGCGCCCCCTGCGCCCCCAGAGCCCGAGGCGCCCACCACCTTCTGCGCGCTGCTGCCGCGCATGCCGCAGTGGAAGTTCGCGGCTCCCGCCGGCTTCCTGGGCCGCGGCCCGGCGGCGGCGCGGGCGGCGGGGAGCGAGGGGGCCACGGGGGGCGCCGACCCCCAACCCGAGCCGGCCGGCCCTGGTAGCGTCCCGGCGCTGGCGGCCGCGGTCCTGGGCGCCTGCGAGCCGCGCTGCACCGCATCCTGCCCACTGCCGGCGCTCAGCCGCTGCCGGGCCGCCGGGGCGCGGGGGCCGCGGGGCGCGCGGGGTGCTGCTGGGCCCCCGGGCGCCGCTGAGGCCGAGTGGATCGGCAAAGGCAGCTTCATCCACAAGCCGGCGCACGGCTGGCTGCACCCAGACGCCAGGGTCCTGGGGCCCGGGGTCTCCTACATCGTGCGGGTGAGTGCGCCGGCGGGACCCCCGGGACCCAGTCCTCCCGGAATCCCCCGGTAGGAGACTGCGGCCCCCTTCCCCCACTTCGTTCTCTAGGACGCCCCGGCCGTGAGAGCCGAGTCTCTCCCCCCGGCCTTCCTCCTCTCCCCGCCGCCCGGACCCCCCACCTCCAGCTGGTGCTCCGCGGCCGCCCCTAGCTGGGAGGCGCTGGGGTCCGGGTTCCCACGGCGTCACGTGGGGCGGGGCGGGGAGAGGGCGGCAGGTGGGTGGGCTGCACGCATGCGCAGGGCCGGCTCCCCAGTTCCGGGTGGGCGGGAATCTGGGGAGTAAGGAAGCGGTGGGGGCCTCGTGTTACCCGGACCCCATTAAAGCTCCTTTGCCGGCGGCAGAATAGGAACCTGCCAAGACTTGGCCCGAGGTGGGGGGCGCAGGGAAACGGCATCTGGAAAGGGCCCGGCGCCCAGCCAGACCCCAGGATTTGCGACGTGAGACCCCGGGGCTTCGGATGTGGTGTGGAGAAACGTGTCTTTAGGCACCCCGACCTTTTATCCTGAGCGTTTCCAATGCACAGAAAGGTCGGAGGAACGCGCCGCCGGCACCGGCACCGTCTCTGTCCCGGTAGCGGTTAGGAAGGGCGCTGCCCCTTGCCACACCCCCGTGAGGTGCCTGCTTCCCCAGATAGCCGCCCTGCTGCGCACCCGCAGCTCGCTGAGTCCAGAACATCAGCGAACGCTCGGCAGCGTTCAACTCCCCTCACTTGGCTTTTTGGGACCAGGATCCTGGAAATTTGTGTGTGTGTTGCATTAGGTTGTGTTTTTGCTTCCTGTTCTCCAGTCCTGGGCACGTCTTGTCCCTGCTCTCCTGGTACTGGGTTGATTAGTGTTCCCCCAGCATTCATGTCCGTGGGAACCCACAGATTGGCCTTTTTTGGAAATAGGGTCTTTGCAGAGGTAATCAAGTTAAAATGAGGTCATCCTGGAGCAGCTGGCCCTAACGCAATGATGTGTCCTTATAAGAAGAGGAAACTGTGGACACAGACACGGGAGAGGCCACCTGATGACAGGGGCAGAGACTGGAATGATGCGCCTGGTTGCCAAGGGATGCCAAGCGCCGCTGCCCTCCTCACCACCACCAGAAGCTGGAGGAGGCGGGATTTCTCCCCAAAGACTTAAGAGGCACCTTGGCCTTGTGGATGCCTCCGGACTTCTGGCTTCCAGACTGTGAGAGAATAAATTTCTGTAGTTTTAAGCCACTCAGCTGGTGGTGTGTTGTTACCGCAGGGCCAGGAAATGGACAGTGACTTCTCTGTCTTAGATCGGATCCTCTCCTGGTGGCAAGCGGCAGCCAAGGCACCTGTCCTATCGTCCTGCAGAAAAGAGTCCTCTTCCTGTGGGGTCCCTTTACGAATAAGGAGACCGCCCCTGGAACTCCTCAGCTGTTGTCACACTGGCCAGACTGGTGTCCCCCGACTTTCCCTAAACTGGTGTGGGATCAACCTAGACCTCACTGCCCCAAGGAACTTTGTGCAACCATGGAATGTTCTAGATCCGTGCTGTCCAATGTGGTGGCCACTGAGCCTTTTGAAATGTGGCTAATGTGACCAGAAAACTAAATTTTAATTTTTCTTGATTTTTAGTTAAATTCAAGTGGTTAGTCACATGAGGCCCATGTTACCCTTTTGGTCTGCCCAGTTGTGTTTATCCCTGATTGGGGGACCTCATCTGAAGGGGTAGATGTCTGAGCAAAATTTGGCTGTAAACAAAGTGAACCTGGACCAGGGAGAAGCCAGAGTCTGTACCTTGCTCTGCAGGCGGCTGCCCCTGTTTTCCTCCCACGGCCACTATTTGGACATGCTGCTCTTCTTTCACAAAAGTTCCACTAATAAGATGTTTCTAATTTCTGAGGTGTGCTCACTCATGTCCTCTCATGAGGTCCTCATGAGAGGTTTAAAATGCAATACCCAGCTTTGTTGATGGCGCCATGGGGACCCTGCCCAGGTGGCCCAGGCCTGGTGATTCGAACTCAACCCTGCACACATGTCAATGAAATGCAAGGGCTTCTTGTGACCCAGTCTTGCCTGAAGAATGGTTCTCACATGCTGGTGATGCGCAAGGGAACTGCGAGAGGTTAACTGAGTTAAGATGTCTTTAGGGGCAAACGCAGTTCCTTCCTTGAAGGTCAGGGGGTAGGGTGGCTCCAGAGTGTATTAATTCAATGACAACATCCCTGAAGACCCAGGTCTTTCCATCTTTTTGCACTGCATCTTTGGCATGCTGGCTTGGCTATCCTCATGGTCACAAAGTGGCCGCCACAGCACCAGGAATCGTATGCAGATCCAGCCATAATCACTGGAATAAAAGAAGACCATGTCTTCCTTGGGTCTCTTTGTAAGATACTCCTCACTATTCTTACTCCTAACATCTTGCTGACTGGAAATGGCAAACTCCATTCGTGGTAGGAGAAATGGGATCACCAAGTTGGTTTAAAATAGCAATGAGCAGAGTGTGATCCTCAGACATCTGGGAACTTGTTATAAATGCACATTCTCAGGCTCCAGCCCAGACCTGCAGAGTCAGAAACTTTGGGGGTGGGCCCAGCTATTGACGTTTTACAAGCCTTCTGGTTGATTCCAACACCCGCTCCTGTTTTGGAACCTCCAGCTTAAGCCAATTGTTTTCAATCCTGTTGGATTAACCACTACTTATTTATAATCCGTATTTGATAACCCTTCACCCCGAACTGAACTTCAAATATATGGAACACTTACCTGTACATTTCCTCTTAAAAACCGATCCGATGTAACAGAAGAGCAGTAGAAAGTAGAAGCACAATGATAGCGATTAATAGGAACTCAGAAGACATTTCAGGACGTCAGTGTGTGGGCTGTGCTGCTTTCAGAGCGTGGTGACACAGACAGGAGCCGGTATCTCCTTGACAGCCGCGTCCACACAGCTTCAGAAACAGGTTGTTACTTCAGCCGCCGAAACCCCACGCTGGAGCTGCTGCCGGCCTGAGACTCTCTGAAATAATGGGCACCTCTTGCTGCATTCTCACAACACAAAATGAAGTCCTCTGTCAATGCACATGATAGTTTCATTAGATTCAGTGTGTATTAACACCACGCCAAAAAGAATCACCATGTGGGCCAGCGGCTGCGCTTCTGGGGTTACACCCAGTGGAATTGGAAGCAGTGACTCCAGCCACTGTGTCATGCTAGAACTGCTCACCCACACAAGTGTGCTTTCCTCCTGGGCCCTGTGTCCATACAAGTCTATCTGTTTGCACACCACTCTTGCTACTTAATGCTGCATCACACAGATGCTCACAAATTTTCTTGTTTTCTTTCACAACTGCTACTCTTCCATCCCAAGTGCCACGATCTGTCCAGCTTGAGCAGAAATACAGGATGCCCACGTAAATGTGAAGTTCCAATGAATACAAATGATTTTCAGTGTTAGTATGTCCCATGCACTATTTGGGACATGCTTATTCTAAGAAAATATTTATCGTTTTATTGGAAGTTCTGACTTACTGGCGTCCTGTACTGGATCTTGCAACCCTACCTGTGTTGAGTTTTAGAGTGTCTCCAGCTTCTTGCTAATTTGTTCAGGGCTGTGAGTCCCAGAGGGAAGCGAGGGGTGTGCACTCAGGGCCTACCTTTGGGGACACCAAGGGAGGCAGGCCTCTCAGGGAGGGCTGTTGTGCACGGCAGCTGAACGTGGCAGGAGGGAGCCTGGGGGTAGTACCTGGCCTCCTGTTTCTCAGCTTCAGTCCTGCCTGGGGCATGGGGCCCCTAAGGAAGGGCGGGCATCGGTCCCCCACAGTAGCTTGGATGTGTCTGTGGGATAGTGCTGAAAATGAGGTTCAAGGTCAATGCCTTTGTGTGTTTATTATTTTCAAACTTCATATAACAAAATTAAGCATTTTAAAAAAGAACAACTCAGGAGCATTTAGTGCATCCGCAGTGTTGTGCAGCCATGACCTCTGTCTAGTTATGGAACATTCCATCCTGTAGAGGTAAACTCTCCCTGCAGCTCACTCCTCACCCCCTCCGCAGGCCCTGGAATCCCCAAACCCACGTTCTGTCTGTGGACTCACCTGTTCTGGACGTTGGTCCTATGGACTCCCAGGAGCCACACTACCACATGGCCCTGCACACATGTGGGGCATCCTGCCATGTTGGAAGGGTGCTCCAGGCCATCGTTTGCTTGGGGCCTTGTGGGAGCCCTGATGGTGGCTTCCACCTCTTCTGTCCCTCAGGTTCTGGATTCCTCTCCGTGGAGATGGTGGTCTGGGCAGGGGTGGCTCGGGGTTCTGAATTGTCTTTCTGTGCTTTAGGAAAAGGGGCAGACAGTCAATGCTTTGCGCTTGATGGCCTCCACCAATCTGCTCTCAGCCCTGTGCTGGGCTCCGGGGTGCAGAGGTGTGGAAGGTCACTGCCATCCAGGACTGTGCAGATGGCAAAACAGGCTGCCACGAGCTAGAGCTTCCATGAACGGCTTGCTCAGAGCCAAGCGGGGAAGGTGGCTCTGGGGAGCTGCCACGGAGCCTCCTGGCAGGAAGGAGCCGGCTAAATAGAAGTGCGGAGAGCAGGTGCAGGGGCCCTGAGGCAGCAAGCCTCCACCGTCCAGACAGGGAAGGGCTGGAGCTGGCGGGTGGCAGGAGAGGAGGGTGAGGAGATCTGGGGCCTGGGATTGGACCGTGGGGCCATGGGCCCCCTACTGACCTGGCCCCTCTCCCCTCAGTACATGGGCTGCATCGAAGTCCTCCGCTCCATGCGCTCCCTGGACTTCAACACTCGCACCCAAGTCACCAGGTGAGTCTTCAAGATGGGGCAGCTGGGTGCCTGGGGCTCAGGCCAACTGGGGGCTCTTCTCAGCTTGGCCCAGCTGGGCTTGGTGAGGGGGGACAGTTGCAGGCATAGGGGTGACTTTCAGGGTGGGGACTCAGTGACGGTTCTCATCTGCTTCCCAGTTTGGGACAGTGCTGGGCTGGGCGAGTGGTCAGGTGGGGTGAGCAGGGACATATCATGTCTGAGTCGTGGTCTGTGGCGCCTACTGGCTGTCCCTGCTATCCCAACCAATTCCTGATTCACAGGGGTCTCGCCCATACTGTTTGTAGGGGGTCACCTCCTGCCACTGTTGGGAACCCAGAGCAGAGGTCATCCCCTGGGAGGGTCACAGAACTTAGGGTCCAGGCTCAGCAGCTGTGTCGGCCCCCCAAGTCTGTCTGCCCGGGGTATGGGTCAAGCTGTGGCCCAGGAATATGAGGTCACTGAGAAGGGGTGTGAGGGAGAGAGCTAGGGGTGTCTGCCCGATGCAGCTGGACAGGGGCTAGGGGCCCCGAGGAGCCCCACTCCGTGCCCCTGGTTCCCTCCTCCTCTCTGCAGGGAGCCTGCCATCTTCCCCTCTCGACCCCTCCTGCGGTGAGCCCCACCCCTCTCTGATCTCCTGCCCCCTCCCCTGCCAGCTCTCTAAGCCTCCTCCCCACCTTCCCCCCATAGGGAAGCCATCAACCGGCTCCATGAGGCGGTGCCTGGGGTCCGGGGCTCCTGGAAGAAGAAGGTGGGTCAGAGGCTTGTGGTCCCTGAGTGGTGCTGGTGGGTGTGGTTGGAGCCAGAGGGGCACCATGACCATCCTCAGACCCTGCCCCAGCCAGGGCCCCCATGCGGTACTGCCCATCTCAGAGCCCAGGCTGCCCTCTGTCCTGCCCCCAGGCCTCCAACAAGGCACTGGCCTCAATCCTGGGCAAGAGCAATCTGTGCTTCGCTGGCATGAGCATCGCCGTCAGCATCTCCATTGATGGTCTCAACCTCTCGGTGCCCGCCACGCGCCAGGTGAGTGCTGCCACCCCCGGCCTCAGCCCCTGGCCTCCTTGCAGGACAGGGTCAATGGACTCCCTGGGGATGCCTGGAGGGGAGGTGGGTGCAGGGCTGTGTCACGTGGGCATTGGTGTGAATGTGCCCGCCTGGAGAACATGCTGAGACCTCACCCTGAGCCAGGAGCCCAGGAGGAACACTGGCTGCCCATGGGCATCCCTCAATTAGCAATCTGGGGGAGCTCCTGGCATCAAGTGGCTGGGGCCAGGGAGGCTGCTCAGCCCCCACAGTGCCCAGGAAGGCCCATCCCCAGAGGTGGACCCAGTCCCTGGCCTGCAGTGCTGAAGGAGAGAGACCCTGGGTTCGAATCCTTTGCTGAAAACAGACTACCAAAATATAATGCAGAAATGAGGGAATAATTACAAATTCTGAGAAACATTGTGAGGCCAGGCAAGGGTTGTGAGCATGCACAGGCCACTGGGACCTATCAGGGGCACCATGGAGGGCTTCCTGGAGGCAGTGATGTTGGCACTGAGTGAGGAGGTGAGGAGAGGGCATCTTGGGTAGAGGTTTGAGCTGGAAAGGTCAGCGAGGATCATGGCAAGGGGTTGGGATGTGTCCAGACAGCACTGTGGTTCTGTGAAGTTTTTCAGGGAAGTGCTGTGATGTGTGGTCTGGTATGAGCATTGACCTGTGCAGCTGTGGGGGCCATGCAAGCGGGGCCAGGGGCCAGGGTGATCTGCGGGGGCCTGGGGGGCAGCAGGAGCACTGGCTTGGCCCTGCCTGGACCTGTCACTGCTGGTCATTGGGGTTGTAGACAGACATGAGCACCAGGCACAGCAACAGGTGGTGGCATGTGGATGCAAACGAATTAGTGGATGTAAATGAGCATGCAAAATAAGAATGCAAATGAGCGAATGGATGCAGTCATGCAAATGAGCAAGTGAGTGTAAATGAGCATGCAGATGAGCATGCAAATGAGCAAGTGGATGTAAATAAGCATGCACACGAGCACGCAGGTGACGTTGGTGAGGTTGATGGTGCTGAGTCAGGAGCCCCTGGTAGGTCCACGGCTGCGCGGGGTGAGTGTGTATATGTGCACCTGTGTATCAGGCAAGTGTGCTATGCCTGGGTGTCTGTGTGGCAGTGTGTGATGTGTCAAGCTGTGCAGGTGGGCTTGAGACTGAGTGTACATGTGAGTGGTTGTGTCTCTGGGCATGTTGGTGTATGAGTCTGTGTGGGAGAGTGTGTGTGTGCAGATGAAGTGTGAGTGTGTGCCAGGGTGCAGCTTGCATGGGGACTGTGTTCTGTGTCTCTGTGTTTGTCCGTGTGCACTTGTGCATCTGTACATTTCTGGGGGAGGTGTCAGCATGTCTGTTGGATGTCTGGTGCATGCATGTGTGAGGGTGCCCACCGGTGTGGCACTGAGTCCTGCCCAGTCAGGGGGCATCTCCATTCCCAAATCCCACCCCTCCTGCCCTCTCCCTGTGGCCCTGGTACAGTGATTGACCCGAACCCCAGGTACACCCTACCCCAAAATGGCAGCCCCTTGACTGTGTGTGTCTCCCTGGCCAGATCATTGCCAACCACCACATGCAGTCAATCTCCTTTGCATCTGGCGGTGACACGGTAAGGCCAGGAGTGGGGGGTGGGCCCTCTGCCCATGCCCTTGGGCTCCCACCAGTGTATTGCTGGGAGGTGGGTGGCACAGGCAGGACCAGCTGACCCCTCCTACCCATCCCCTCTCTGCAGGACATGACAGATTACGTGGCCTATGTGGCCAAGGACCCCATCAACCAGAGAGGTGAGGCCCTGTGGTGTGGGTAGGGCACCGTGGGCCGGAGTGTGTCTGCTAGCCAAGCCGTGCTGATGCCGCATAACGAGCCCACCCTCCCCAGCCTGCCACATCCTGGAGTGCTGCGGGGGCCTTGCCCGGAGCGTCATCAGCACTGTGGGCCAAGCCTTCGAGCTGCGCTTCAAGCAGTACCCGCACAGCCCCTCCGAGGTGGTGGCGCCCCCAGACAGGTACCCCCTGCTGCCCCCCTCCCTGCCCTGGGCCATGTCCACTCACACTCCACCCTTGGCTTCCCCTCCACCTGTCCCTTCCTCTCTCATGGGCACAGGGCTCAGCTGCCAGGATCCCCATTCCCTTGTCTGGAAAACTGGGACGCCCCCACCCCCTGTGCTGGTGTGTGATGCTGGGAACCAGGCATCACTGTCATCCTCAGTCTAGACAGGCGGCCAGCGCTTCTGTGAAGGGCCAGTCAGTATTTTTGGCTTTTCAGGCCAGATTGCTTGTCTTCGCCATTGTAGTCCGAGAGCACCTCCCTGCCCCAAGGGGGACAAAGGATCCGTGGCTTTGACACTGAAATTTGAATTTCATGGAACTTTCACGTGGCACCAAATGTTGTTCTTTGGATGTTTTCTTTAAAAGTTTTATAGCTTCAAAGTGTAGAAACCAATCTCAGCTCCTGGGCTGTGCAGATCCAGGCAGTGGGCCAGGTTTGCCACCGCCTGCTCCTGGCTACTTCCATATCTTAATAGGTAGGAATTTGCTAGAAGAATGAATCAGTGGATCTGTTAGAAATGCCAGTGTGCACTTAAGGAACAGGACGGATGCCCTAGGACACAGCAGCACGAGCCGACCTCACCCAGCCGGCCTCCTGGCCTTGCACCCAGTCCTTGTGTCCCTGCACACGCGCTGGGTCCTTGCAGCTGCTTCTCTCTGCCTCTCCCGGCCGTGTGGCCCTCATCTGGTGTCCGTACTTCATCTGCTGTCCCTCCCCAACTGAGCGGCAGGCCCAGCTCTCCCTGTTTTGCTCTTAGGATGTTTCTACAGTTGTGAGCACAGGGCCAGACAGCAAGGGCGCTTTAAATGCTGAGGGTGTTGCCAGCCCAGGCCCACAGCCTTCTGATTCCCGTGCAAGCCTGGTGTTGTGCCCTGGCTGCCTGGCGGGGCTGGAGGTGGGCGGAAAGGAGCGGAGGCCAGCTGTCCTGAGGACTTGCTGTGGTCCAGCCAAAGTCCCGGGAAGCTGCCGCACCCCGTTTTATAGAGAGGAAAGAGCACCAGGCCCTCCTCAGCCAGATCAGCTGCCCAGAAGGGGGTCAGTGTCCCCTGGGCCTGGCTTGTCCCCTGCACACCGTGCAGAGCTGAAGCCCAAGGCCTTGGTGCCCTCCTGGAAGCCCTGCTCTTTCTGCCCTCGTGGGCTGGTGCCCCACCTGTGCTCCTGTTTGCTGCCTGCCCCCAGGCTGACTGGGCTGGAAGAGTCAGCCTGGGGGGACGAGGAGGACCCGGAACACAATTACTACAACAGCATCCCGGGGAAGGAGCCGCCCGTGGGCGGACTGGTGGACTCCAGACTGGCCCTCACGCAGCCCTGCGCCCTCTGGGCCCTTGGCCAGGTCAGCCGCCAGGGACCTCGTGGAGGAGGGGCCCTGGGGGGGGGAACTTGCGGCAGGGGGGTCCCGGTGCTGACTCCCAGATCCTTTTCCTGCCTTTCCTTCTGCTCCTGTTCTTCTGGCTCCAGGGGAGGGTCTCCTGTGCATGCCCCCTCCTGCCCTCAGATCTGCTGGGCCCTGTGCTAGACCTCCAGATGTGGCGCCCACCCTTGGACACTGAGTAAACAGTTACATTGCTGGTTTAGTCAGGGACATGAAAAGGGCTTCTAAGGATGGTAAAGAGAATGTAAAATAGGGAGACTGGCTTTGTTTGTGGTCAGGAGGACTTCCCTGAGGAAGCAGCCTTTGGGCTGGGCCCTGATGGGTGAATAGGTGTTGCCCAGGAGAACAGTGCAGGGAAGGGCATCCAGGTATAGGGAATAGTATGTGCCAGGCAGTGGGAGGGTGCAGACCCCCCTCTCAGGTGGAGAGGGCCGATGGGGCTGCAGCAGAGGTGGGCAGTGAGCCCAAAGGCAGTTTGAGAGCCAGGGACCTAGGGAAGGGTTTGGAGCTGAGCTTCATGTCCAGCTTATGTCTCCAGCCATTTAGGAGGGTTGCTGGGGTGGGACTAGGGGCTTGCTCATTGCAGAAGGACCCCTCACTCTTTTTTTCAGGGAGCATCTCCTGCTCGAAGAGACGCCTGTGGCCTGCAGTGGGACCTGGGCCCCTTGGGTATGGGTAGGCTGCTCTCGGGCTGTCTGGTGCCCAGCCCCTCCCCACCGGGTCCCTCTGCCACCGCACACTGTTTCTCCAGTGCTATCTCACTTTTGCCTACAAGGTTGTTTTTTTTCCCCAAGCTGTTATGAGATGTGATGGCATCAGTTTCTCTTTTTCTGTTCAGACTAGTTCCATCGTGTTTTGGGGATAGACACTGCATTCACATGGTTTGGTGCCAGGTCCCTCCTGTCCTGGTTTCCTGTATCCCCTTCTCAAATCAGGCAGCCACTGTCGGTGGTTAGTAGTGTTCGTTATTTCTCCTAAATTTCCATATATATTCAAGCCAATTCAAATACATAATGACTTTCCCATTTTTACAGACGGTGGCATATCATGCCTGCTCCCACCTTGTCTTTTCTGTGTGGCAATCTGCTGTGGAGTCCTTCCCACATCAGTGCCCGGATGGCCACCCCTTTTCACCATTGCATAGTACTCCACCACACAGAGGACTTTTGTTTCTTTGGCCTGCCTCTGACTCACAGGCATTTGGTAGTTTCCAGGCATTTGCTCTGATAATGGGGTGATGAATAACCATGAGGGCTCATCACCCAGCTGTGTGCAGAATTTCAGTAGTGCCCCTCCCCAGGATGGGGATTGCTCAGTCTGTTTTTTTTTTTTAAGCCTTGCAATTGCCTTCTCTGTTTGCATTCCCACAAGGTACTGTGAGCTTTTGTTTTAACAAAGTAATTGAGTTTACACCCTCAAGCGTTTTATACAAAATTATAAATGACATGACAGAGGAGGTTAACATCCCCCTTGCTTCCCATTCTGAGTCTGGGAGCTCACCCCCTGACACTTTTGTGTCTCCTTTTAGACTTTATACAAACAGGCACCCAAAGAAACGGTGACCCTTGAGGCATGCTGTGGGTGCCCTTGGTCGCCTTGCTGTGTCAGTGCATTCTTTTGAATGCCTGCATGTGTCTCCTTGTCCCCAGAGTGGGCTTACTGACATGGCCCTCTCCTGAGGGGCACTGAGGGGCACTCAGCTCTCCCTCTTATGCACAGGGCCGCAGACATGCCCTTGCGCCCACCGTGTGCTCCTCCCGAGGATGCTGAGCTGTGGAGTTGCTGGGTTAACGGGCACAGTCCTCACTCGCAGTACTGCAGGCTGATGGCCTGCTCTCTGCTAAACTGGACGTGCCAGGCGGTATTCGCCCACCAGCCCTGCTGCATCCGCCTGTTCCCTCACAGCCTTGCTAACATCTGTGTTGGGCTTTTTTTAGATCTTCCCAAATAATCTGGGCATTTCACTGCCAAGCGTGAGAACCCTTATGGGTTCCCAGTGCCTGTGGTTAAAGAACGCATGTCATAAGTCACCTACCAGGTGCCACGCTGTAATCTAGCTCTGCTCTGCTATTTCTCAGGGACACTGGCTGTTCACCCCTAACTACCAGGGCTCGCCAGCATTTCCTGTCCTTGAGCCTTTGCACATGCTGTTATTGCTTCTTGTCATGCCTTTTCTAGTTCTCTGGCCAAGAACTCCTACCAACACATCAGTGCCCCAGCACCGTTGCCTAGGATTTCTCTTTACACTGGACTCCTGCGACCTGGGTTTCTTCCCTCTCACCTAACCCTGATGATAAGAGGCTGGGAGAACCTGTGCTTCCTCTGGGCTGACTGGGAAGCCTAGGCTGAGACCCCTGTGCCTCCATCAGTCACCCAGGACTGACACAGTGTTAGCACTTGTACTGAATTGTAATTTTTGCCAGATCCTGTTTTAAGATCTGGATCAGCACCTCTACCTATGAAAAAGCTAGTCCTTTCCCCCCCATTTTACAGGGGAGGAGACTAGGCACAGAAGGTGCCCAGGCCCACAGCGGGAGGGTGGAGCCGGCCTGTGAGCCCAGGTGTCCATGAAGGTTGATGATACAATTGGCATAAAGCAGAGATAGCAAATTGCAGGTCTTGGGCTGGATTTGGCCACATGGTGTATTATTAAAAGATCATCATTTCCCAGGCAAACATAAAAAATGGAGACATTTTGCAATGAATAGAGGGTTCAGAGAAAAGGATACACAAATGCCCTTCGAACCTAGGAAAATAAGCTCAACCTTGCTCAAAATAAGAGAAATAGAAATTAAAGTTCCCCAGGATGCCGTTTGTCACCTATCAGATCAGCAAAAATCTAAGTCCGATAATGCATGGGGTGAGGCCAGGAGGACAGGGCGGAGGCACACCGATCAGGACCCAGCAGACCCCTGACGGCCTGCTGAGGGGACCCAAGCGAGAAACTCCTCCAAGGATACCTTTCAATGTAGCTGCGGCTTTTGAACCATGGAATGCTTAACACATACAAAAATAACATTTAAAAAAAGGAAAGAAAGGAAATCCTAAAATAGAGCACAAAGAGAAACAAATGACTTAATAGTATCTTGTTGATAACATAATTACAGGGAGAACAGAGTTGCATTATTATTTTTCAATGTGGAGATGGAACATAAACATCGGGATTTCTGGTTTCTTTTGAAACTGGAAGCTCCTGTGCCACAGGCCACCCTCCTGCCTGGCAGTTGGGGGGCTAGACTGGGCGGGCAGCTGCACTCTCCCTGGGTGTGCGCCTCCAGTGCCCCATGTCCCCTTGTTGAGTGTTGATGGGTTTTTTCTCTCCTGATGGTGCTATGCAAAGGGCCTGCCACTTCCTTTCTGGGGGGACAGGAGTGGATGGCTCCCAGGTGGGGTCCCACCCGGCTCCCTGGGGTCCTCAGCTGACCTCTCACCATTCCTTCTTCCCAACCAGCCCCACCGGGGGATGGCTACGTGCAGGCAGATGCCCGGGGGCCCCGAGACTATGAGGACCACCTGTATGTAAACACGCAAGGCCTGGACGCCCCGGAGCCCCTGCAGCCTGAGGACAGCCCCACGAAGGACCTGTTTGACATGCGTATGTGGGGGCGAGCCAGCCTTGCTGGGGGAGGCCACGCCCTGTGCACCCTGTGGTCTGATGGGGAGGCCCAGCCTTCACTCCGTGGGACTTCTCCATGGAGACTGTACAAGTCAATGGTGGTGGGGAAATCTGGTTCTGCTGGGACACCCTAGTCTGATAGGGGAGGCTCAGTGGCTCCCCCTCCATGGGACTTCCTAGTCTCTTGGGGGTCCCCAGTCTGAGGGGAGTTCATACCTCGTTCATACCTCAGAAGAATGGCATGTGTGGTGGGGGAGGCCTAGGCCCCTCTTCTTTATGGTATCCTCCATCTGCTGGGGGAAGCCTAGATCCCTATCTCTGGGTCTTCCCAGTCTGATAAGGGGGGCTTAATACACATCTTGATAGAGTGACTAGCTGATGGTAGAGCCCATTTCTTCCTGCTGGGATGTCCCAGCCTGAGGGAGGGCTCAGTCTGATGGAAGAGGCTTCTGCCCCAAGTACCCTGTTTCCCACAACAAACCCATTCTCTTCCACAAGCGCTTGTGGGGCTATTGGCTCTGTGCTGGCTCAGGCAAGGCGGTCTCTCCTCAGGACACCCAAGCCCCCTGGGAAAGCCCTCTTCCCCCAGCGTCTGACAGCTGGATTTCTTGTCATTGCAATGATGACATGGGCCAAGATTTGTGCACCAGGCTGGACTAAAAGCATGGCCCTCCGCCTGCTGAGCTCCTGTTGAGACAGGCTGTTCCCTTGGGGTGTCCAGACGGCCCAGAGGAGACTGAGCTTCTTGCTAAGCTCCTGTTAGATGCCCCCTGGGATGCCTCTGCCTGACCCACCCTGGGTCATGTGCTTATCCCCAAGGAGATGGCCAGGAGGGTGAGATGAATAAGCTGACCGTCTAGGCTTGGCCACATATCCTGGGAGCCGGAGGCCGGGTCAGCTCACACGGGCCTCAGGAGGAAGCTCCCAAAGGACCAGAATAGAAGTAGTGCAGCTCAGGGTTGGGATTCTGCAATCCAGATGCTGACATGCCCATTTTGCAATGAGGGAATGAGGCTCACCGATGGCCAGTGACTTGTCCAGCACCATGCTGGCATCACTGGGAGCCTTAGGAAACCTCTGCAAACCATCAGGAGCTTTTCGGTTAAAGTTTGGAAGTGAAAGGGATGCCTGCTGCCTACCATGGAGATGGAGTGGTCTTGGAGGTCCTGGCCCATGGGAGCAGACAAGATAATGAAGTTAGAGGCACAAACATTAGGAAGGAAGCCAGGGTAACAAGATAAGAAAAAGAAATAAGTGTACACGTTGGAAAAAAGCAATGCTTTCATTCTTTTACATAGACTATACTTCATCCAGTATACTTAGGAAATCCAAGAGAATGTGTTGAATAACAGAGCCAGTAAGACTGACTGCAAAGAAGGTGACTGGTTGGTACAACACACCGCATACACCCAGGGCACACTCAGCACACAGCCGAGAGTGCGCTGTGGTGGGCGCAGTGCACGGTCTGGTACGCAGCAGGCGCACCAAGGCAGTTGTTGGTCCCCAAGGTGGTCCCCGGGAACCACCCTAGCTCACTCCTCCAGGCAGGCCACCGTCCTTCCGGAGGCAGCTCCATCCTGGCCCTCCCACCCCTTGTCGGCCTCCGGCACTCCTCCTTGCCCGCAGGACCCTTCGAAGATGCCCTGAAGCTGCACGAGCACTCTGTGGCAGCGGGCGCAGTGGCAGCGCCCCCTCCCGTGGAAGACCAGTGGCCCAGCCCCCCGACCCGCCGGGCACCCATCGCCCCCACGGAGGAGCAGCTGCGGCAGGAGCCCTGGTACCACGGTCAGATGAGCCGGCGGGCGGCGGAGAGGCTGCTGAGAGCCGACGGGGACTTCCTGGTGCGCGACAGCGTCACCAACCCCGGGCAGTACGTGCTCACCGGCATGCACGCGGGGCAGCCCAAGCACCTGCTGCTCGTGGATCCCGAGGGCGTGGTAAGGCACCGGGTGCCGCGCGCCGCGTGCCGCGTGCCAGGGTCGGAGGCGGGGCCTGGGTGGCCAGGGCGGGGCCAGGCCCAGAGCGGGCTGGGTGAATGGGCGAGGGCCTGGGGGCCCTGTCTGGGAAGGTCGGGGCAGCTCCTTTCTGCCCAGGGCCCTGGGCGCCCGACTTCCTAGCGCCCTTTAGGATTAATGCAGTAGTTTCCCAATTACAAAGCCTTTGTGTTTAGAGATTCTGTTCCCGTTTACCAGGTATTTCCGAATTACGAAGTATTCCCAGTTTTAAGAAGAATTTTAGGATTTACAAATGTATTCCCCATCTATAAACATTTTGGGGGTTACCAATTCAAGACGTTTCAGGGTTTACAAAGAACCGTATTTCACTGTAAGGTACTTTGCTTCACATTTTTTCATCACTAATTCATTTTTCATTTTGCAAATAATGATGTCTTCGAGTGATAAATACAGTATTTTCAGTTTTGAATATATTTTAGGGTTTACAAAGCATGTTTCAATTTCAAGGATTTTTAGGGTCCAAAAGTTACTGAATTGCCTCAACTCTCTGATACACACTTTTATCTCCTTTGACATCTCTTAGTCTGGATTTTTTTTTTCTAACCATCAGTTGCATCTTTGAACTGCATTATTATTTAATTGGGAAGTTTTTGTTCCCTTCTCCTCGTGGTACGTAAAATAGTGATGCATCTTACAGTTGTTTTGAATCAGTAAGATTTGGTATTCTTTAGTTCCTAAAACGTTCTGGGGTTTACAAAGCATTTTTTGATCCTAGGAAACGATTCCAATGTTCAGTTCTAGGGTTTAGGAAGCATTTTCCAGCATCCAAGGCCTTGGGCTTTGCAGGTTATTTCCCGGGTGAGAAAGTGCTTGAGGGAGTTAAGAGTGTCCTCAGAATTCACCGGGCGTCTTTACTCCGTCCCGCTGAATGCAGAGCACGGCCTCCGGGCCAGGTGTGCCCCTTGTCTCTGTGCACAGGTGCGCTCAGGTGGAGGGTGGCTGTGTGGCCTGGCCAGGTAGGGCCGGGGCTCCTGGCCTCTGTTCTTTCAGCACCCTTTGCCCAGTTTCCCAGGCTTGCTGCTCTCTGTGGCTGTCTGTGGCCCGGCTCCTCACTCTGTCTCTGCCTCCAAGGCCTTCATCCGGTGTCTGTGTCCAGGGCTTTCTTCTCTTAAACCATCACCAGTCATCGGCTTTTGGGTTACTTAGGTTAGCCGGGATGAGCTCATCTCAAAGCCCTCCACATAATCACATCCCCAAAGATGCTTTTTCTAAATAAGGCCCCGTTCACAGGAGTCAAGACGTGGACATATCTTTACGGGGCCATCATTCACCCTGTTACAGGAAGTGTGGCCTCAGAATCCCGTGTCCACACCTAGTTACGGAATTCTGGGGCCGATTCTGTGGCAGAAGTCCTGGGAGTCTCGAGCCCGGCGGCTCTCAGACTTGAGCACACATCAGAATCACGGGGGCTTAGGAAAACACGGAGCTGATGCAGCAGGCCTCTGACAAGCGCCCAGTGTGCTGACACCGAGCCCCCTGGTTCTGCAGGTGCGGACAAAAGACGTGCTGTTTGAGAGCATCAGCCACCTCATCGACTACCACCTGCAGAATGGGCAGCCCATTGTGGCCGCTGAGAGCGAGCTGCACCTGCGAGGCGCCGTCAAGCGTGAGCCCTGAGCAAGGTGTATAGTGAGACCGGGAATTTACCCGTTGCCATATTTTTTTCTAATGTTAAAAACTGAGGAATAATTCACAAACCATGTGGAGACAATCAGAGTGTATACCTCAGTGGTTTTCATTATTCACAGTGTTGTGCAACCATCCCCCTATCTAGGTCCAGAACATTCCATAACCCCATGAGCAGTCCTCCCCACACCCTCCCCAGCCCCCAGCACCCATGAGCCCATGTTCTGTGGATTTGCCTGCTGTGGACATATCACATAAATGGGGTCACACAGTGTCTGGCGTCTCACCGAGCACCGTGTGTTCAGGGTCCATCCACGTGTGGCATGTGGCAGGGCTCCGGTCCTGTTCGTGGCTGTGTGATGCTCCATGTGTGGGTGGACGTGTGTGTGTCTGCTCCCGTGACAGCCGTGTCGTTCCCACTTCAGGCTGCTGCAAATCCTGCTGCTGTGAGTGTGTGTGCATGTTTTCTGGGGATGTGTTCTTGTTGCTGCTGGCGGGTGGTGCCCGTGGGTGGAGGTGATGAGTTGTGATGTAACTCTGACTGTGACTGTGTCTGGGAGGAGGTGGCCATCGGCTACCCCAGAGGAGGTCCAGGAACTTGCCTGGGAAGGCTGTGTGGCTGGTGCCCTGTTGAGACGAGAAGTTGAATCCTTGGCCTTTAGCTTTTGGTGCTGGGGGGACCAGGGAGGGTTTTGAGCAGGGTAGCAACAGGCTGGTCTGGGTGATTCCAGGGCCTTTGGGGTAAGAGAAGGCTCTGGGGTGAAGCGGGAGGTGGTCCAGGCAGGAGCGTGGCTGAGCTGGGGTGTAGAGGGGTGGGGGTGGTGTGCGCACACTTTGGGGAGGAAAGAGACAGTTGCTGGGGGCTTGGCTGTGGAGGGAGGACCTCAGGGGAGGGGGAAGGAACTTCCCCAAAGGCTGAGAGCAGAGGAGCTTCTGGGCCAGGTTGCACGGCTATCCTGTCCCCATGACAACGGTCTCCTTCCTGCCTCCTCCCCTCTAGGTGTGGACTTCCTCCCTGCGCCCAGCCAGGCCTCCAGTGCAGGCAGAGAGGGGGTCCCCAGTCTGGGGAAGGGCTTCAGGGATCGGGGCAGTCCTGCGGAGCACCAGGAATGGCCACAGGCTGTGCATTCGCCTTCACTTCTGCCTCGCTTCTCTCCCTAAGAGGTCGGGGCCCCATGAACGATGTTGAAAGCAGTGGTAGTAGCTGCTAACAGCAGTTGCTGAGTCCAGGCACCATGCTCAGCCCCTCCTGCACCATTACTGGCTCCCATGTGGTTCTGAGATGGGCACTGTTGTTGGCGTTCTCATTGTGCAGAAGATGAGACGGCACAGAGAGGTTAAAACGCTGCCTCGGGTCTCACAGCAGGAATGCGGGGCTGCAGGGACTCGACTGCCTGTCCCAGCCTGAGGCCCCTTGCTGGATCACTTTGCTGCCACGTAACTGAAGTTGGTGGCATCAAATGCCTGAACCCAGGTCCCTGACCCTTTCCCCTCTGCTCTGTTCCCAGGTGATGGTTCTCAGTGCCTGGTTCCTGTCCCTGCTGCCCACATGCCCCTGCTGTGGCCTTATGGATCCTCACCCTTTCTCTGGACCCTGGTGAGGCTGGAACCATGTCTCACCTTCCTCTGCACGGGCTGTGGAATCGGCCTTCTCCAGCTGGCGCTGGGCTGAACTAACCAGGCCAGGAGCCCAGGACCCCCACCTACCCTCAGGCTTCACCTCCTGGAGGGAGGGTATATATACCAAAGACAGAACCTCTTTTCGCCTTTCAGTAACAAAACGCAGCCCTCTGTCTTGGAGCCAGCCAGGTCCCTGGTGGGGAAAGGAGGGGCTTCTGTTTGCCCAGCTGGACTTCAGCTTATCTCCCTGGAAGGGGAGGATTCCTAATTCCCTGGCATGGACATGGATTCCTGTCCTAGCTGGGCTCAATTTTTCCACAGGAAAAATCGGTGCAGTTGTCTTTTGGGGAGAATTGAGGTGGTTTGGGTCCTCAGGCTGGGGCTCATGCTGATGTTGACATGGGGGCATTCTTGGGGCTCACCCAGGATGATAGGGGCATCTGGGCAACTCCAAGGGGATTGACCAGTGGGGATGGTTGCAAGGCCACCACCCTCCCAGCTGGCTGTCTGGACTGAACATTTGGAAGCTGTTTGTAATTAAATCTGGGAGTGACCAGGAGCAGGGACGGCCTAACTGCACATCAAGGAGCCCTCCTGGGCTGGGGGGCTGGGGGCAGAAAGCCAAGGTGGTGTCTGGTGCAGCCTCTCTGGAGCCGGAGGAGGTGGGGGATGAGTGAGGCCCTGGAGACTGGAGAGGAAGGAGCTGGGCCCCTGGGGGTGCCCCTGCTGGGGGTGGGGAAGGCAGGTCACCCTCCCAGAAGCCCCAGTGCTGCTCAGAACATGTTTTCATCCCAAGAGAAGGCACGCCCCGACTTCCTTGGAAACATCCTGGTTCATCTCAAACGTTACAAATCTCTCTCTCTCATGTCAGCTCGATTTCCCGGGCAAAAAGCCCCTTTTTCCCTTCTCCAAATGGCTCCTATCTTTCCCCTAAAAATGGCCAGACTTCCCGGGGCCCAGCTGCTCTCTCGCCCGTGTTCTCGAGATGTTCTCTCTCAGACCTTCCTCTCCATGTGGCCCTCAAAGGCCCTCCTTCCCCCGAGGCCAGCCTCCTTCTGTAGTACCCTGACTTCTGTTCTCCAGACCCTCCCTCACATGATTGCTAAGACCCCCGTCTCTTCCCAGGACTCTCTTTTAACTCCTCCTACAAATATGGGGGCATCTCCTCCACAGAGGTCCCTGTCCCTTGCCACCTCCCCTCCAGGTCCACCTCCCCCCCAGGGTCACCTCCCCCCCAGGCCCACATCCCTGGGGAGGGGTTGTGCTTTCTCGGTCAGCAGGCCCCACCCCGTGCCCAGGGATGGGTCTGGGAGCTGGGAGCCTGGCTCCTCTACACCTGTCTCCTGCCGTGTTTACCTTCAATTATTCAGTTAACAAAGGTTCGAATTCTGCTGTGCAGCCTTACACTAGTCACTTCCGTTCCCTGACTTGGGTGTACTGCAGAGTTAGGCCACTTCCTTGTGCCTCAGTTTCCTTATGTGGGAATAAGGGATGATGACCTCTCCCACCAATGGGTTAACCTGAGCTTTGTGGGGCCCAGGGCCCCTCCTGCAAACCCAGGAGCTTGCGGACAGGCCATCCACTCCCTTTTTCCAGGGGAGAAGACAGGACTCAGAGGGGAAGCCCTCGCTCTGAGCTTCAGGGGCCCAGGGTGGCTCCTCAGGGCCGGAGCCCACATCTCAGGCCTGTTTTTCTTCAAGCCACCTTCCTGTGCTCCCTCCAAGCTGGCCTGCTGGATGCCACCCACAGGGAGCAGCCTACCACTCAAGCCAGGCTCCTGCCCAACACCCGCCTCCCATACAGCTCCCCCCTCCGTACAGCGGGTCCCTGGGTAGGGATTGAGAACAGAGATCACCCAGCATGAGGTGCTGGGACTCAGGGTGGGAGAGGCTGGTCAGTGCTGCCTGGGCCCCCCGGCCCCAGCTTGGGTCTGAGGCTAGCAGCCTCCCATCTCTCATTCCAGAAAGGCTGCAGCTAGGGTGGGGATGTAGGGTGAATCCTGGGGTTTGGGCCACAGGGCTCTGCAGAGGTTCTGTTGACCAGGAGAGGCTCCTGACCATGGAGTCAGCTGGAGCCCTAACCCTACTCCCACCCCTCCCATGGTGGGTCTGCAGCAGCCCACAGGGCAGGTGTTTGGGACCCACGCTCAGGTACCTTTTCCCTCTAGGCTTCAGTTTGTTCAGCCCCCAAATGAGATGGGGTGAGGGGAAAAGGTGGGGGGGCTTCTTGCTGAACTAGGATGTCAGGGGTCAGGGTTCTGGGATTCCCTCCAATGCCTGGCAAGGCCTCCCCCTGGGTGTTCCCTTCCTCACTGGGAGCAGCATTGGTGAAATGTGGACAGCCAGCACTTAACACTGCATGTTTTCTATGCCCTGTTCTAAGCACTGTGCAGAGTAACCTGTTGAATTCTCACTCTGATGCCATAAAGCAGGAGCACGTTTATATCCATGGGCCGCCAAGGAGACGAAGCCACAGAGGAGTTTGGACACTTGCTAGAAGACACTAAGCAAGAAGTGTTGGCAGCGGGATTCAGACCCAATCTAGCAGTTCCAGATTAGTGTCCTAGCTGCTCAGCACAGAATAAACTCACCCTCTCCTCTCCCAACCCAGCGAGGAGGGGAGAATCTGCCCCTAGCTGGGCAAGGGTGAGCAGGGAGTGAAGCCCCCAATGCTCAGGCTGACCTGTCATCAGGACACCTGGCACTGTCCCTCCTCGAAGACTCCAGCACTTATTTCCCCCTCCTGGACCCCGGTGTCTCTCCATGCAACAGAGGAAGGTGGCTCATGGCCCCCCAGCCCCGCTCCTGCCTGCTTTACTGGGGCACTTACTCATTCATCGTCTGGCAGATATTTATTAAAAACCACAGCATCCTGGGGACGCTGCAGGAATAATCAACCAAGCAATTGCTCTAGGGCATTCTTCATGATAACTGGGGTTGGCAGTGGGCTCAGTGGGGCTTGTGATGTGGGGCTGGCCCAGGCTCACAAGCACAGTGGGCTTCCTGGGAGCGGCTGTGAAATGACACATTCATTGGTATGTGCCTTGTCTGTCATACCGTGCGGCCATGCCAGCGTTGCCCCAGCATGAGGAGGGGGCTCAGTGTTTGCTGGATGGGATGAGCAGAACTGAGACAGACCTTTTTTTTGGAGTCAGAGTCAGCTCTGAGCCTCACTTTCCTTACCTGGACAATGGAGTTCTAAACCCTACCACACTCCCTGGCCCTGACGGGGGGCTGGGGAGTCAGGGCCTCCATCCGGCTCCCTCCTGCCCCCAGTACCCCTTCTGCTGTTGAATCAGAGGTCACTCCAGCCCAGCCCCCATCCCAGCTGGGAACACAGGAGGGTCCCAGATGGTAACTGGATAAAGTCCAGGAGTCCCTTTGGGTCAGTCCTGGTGACACTTAACCTTGTGGCTTATCACCGACACTCCATCCGGAACGTGTTGGCCTTGGGTTCCAGAAGGGTAAACTGAGGCTTGGAGTGAGGGAGCAGGAACCCCATCCAGAGGTACCTGTGGTCTCAGGAGCTGCCGGTCCTGGGGCCACATCCCGTTCTCCCCGTGGGCTTCTGCGTCTTGGAGTAGCCGAATCACCCTTTCCTGTCACCGAGCCTGCAACTAGGATTCACCTGTGTGCTGGTGGTCAGTTGGTGTCCTCCGACTGGGAATCCCCCCAAGGCGGGGTCTGGGCCCTGGGTCACAGCGGGGTTCCCAGTTCTGGGTCACCGTCCTGCGCCCAGGTGCCCACACGAAATGCAGGAGCAGCCCCTCGCCGGCTTCCTGCGGCTGCACGTAGTGGTGGTGGGCGGCACACCCCAATTTCTAGAGAGAGACCCTCACCTTGGGACAGCATGTGGCAGTCGGAAGAACTTCGCGGGTCTGGCACTGGGAAAGCGCTAATCATAAATTCAGCCCCGGTTGTTATCACAGACGCTCCCCAGGGAGATAGCCCACAGCGAGTGTGGGTCCGCAGGTGACTGAGGCAGGGGCTTGGGGCTTCCGGGCCCCCGACTCCCCGGATCCGCAGTCACGAGAGGGGGTGGTCATCGCGACCACCTGCTTCCCTCCCACGGACCCCGTGGCCCCGCAGCCCGGACGGGCTCCTGGGGGTGAGAGGCCGGGACTGCGGACCGGGGGCAGAGGCGTGACTGTGCAGGGGCCAGGGCAGGAGCTGCGTGGGTTCGGTGCTGTGGGGATCCAGGGACTGCGAGCTGGTGCTGCGGGGGTGGGGGTGAGGCCGCTGAAGGCCCGGGGGCTGTGGGGCGGGCCTGGGACTGGCCCGGGGCTGCGGGGGAAGTGGGTGGGGCCGCCGGATCCCGGGGCTGCAGGCCAGGACAGCGGGTGCGGGTGCGGGTGCGGGACGGGTCTAGGTCTGCGGGGATCCGGGGGCAGCTAGACGGGCCCGGTCGGGGGGAGGGGGCGGCGGGCGGGCGGCCGTACTCGGAGGAATACGGCGGCTCGGCGGCCGGTTGGGCGGTTTCCCGCCGCCGCCGGTGCATGAGCCCCACTGCGCTGCCGCCGCCGCCGGAGTGCAAGCCGCGGCCGCGTCCCCGAGCCGTCCTGGCCTTGGCGCCGCGACCCCCGCGTGTCCGCTGGCAGCATTTAGCCTCGGGCCGTCGCCCAGGCAGGTGAGTTCAGGGCTCACTCCGGGGGGGCCCCGACCCCACCCCCACCCCCACCCCCACCCCGAGCCCAGGCCAGCGGGAGGCGGGGAGGGGGGGGTCCGCTTGCTGAGCTGTCAGCCCACAGACCCACCAGCTGTTCGCCCCCCACCCGCAATGCCTGAACCCTCGGGGAGAAGCCACAGGTGGCCGGGAGCTTGAGGGGGGCGGGGCTGGGACTCCCCGGGGGTCCACCCCCCCCCGGGGCGTCTTCCCTGCGGGCTGGGTGAGAGCCCTTCAGCAGGCGCACTGACATCCCCAGGGCGGGGGCGGCGCAGGAGGGGGCCGCTCTCCCCCAGGGGCTCCCGGCTCCAGCGCGGCCCCCACGCCCCTGGGTCCTGGAAGTTGAGCGATCTCCGGGCGGGGAAGGGCGAGCTCGCACCGCCCCCGCCCTGCGCCGCGGCCCTGGAGACACCCAGGGTGGCCCTGCCGACTCCTGTCCCGGTGGACCCCCGGCCGCCAGGGCCCGGGGCCTGCAGCTCCTGACGCTCGCTCCTTTGCCCAGCCTCTGCAGCCTCCCTACGGCCTCCTGCCTGCTGCCTCCATGAAGAAAACCAACATGTGGTTCTTGGAGCGGCTTCGGGGGTCCGGGGAGAACGGCGCTGCGGGGGGCGAGGGCGGGGACAAGGCCTCCAAGGGGCCCTTGTACAGCAACGTGCTCACGCCCGACAAGATCCCCGACTTCTTCATCCCCCCCAAGCTGCCCGCCGGCCCTGCGGAGCCCGAGGGGCAGGCCGAGCTGGGCCCCGCCGCGCCCGAGCAGAGCCTGGCGTCGGCCGCGCCCCGCCGCGCCCCCCGGAGCCCCCGACTGCCCGCCAAGCTGGCGGCAGAGAGCCGGAGCCTGCTGAAGGCGGCCAGCCGGCACGTGATCCAGGTGGAGAGCGCCGAGGACTGGCCGGCGGAGGAGGCCGGCACCAACGCCGACCCGCAGGCCCAGGGCGCCATGTCCCTGCCCTCCGTGCCCAAAGCCCACACGTCCTACGGCTTCGCCACGCTGGCCGAGAGCCCCCACACGCGGCGCAAGGAGTCCCTGTTCCACAGCGAGCACGGGGCCCTGGCCCAGGTGGGCTCCCCGGGCGCCGGGCGCCGTCGGGGGGCCACCAAGGCCAACGGGGGCGACGGGGTGCCCAAGGAGGCCAGCGGGGCCCTCATGAGCCCCAGCCGCTACTTCAGTGGTGGGGAGAGCGACACAGGGTCCTCCGCCGAGTCCTCCCCATTCGGGTCCCCTCTGCTGTCACGCTCCGTGTCGCTGCTCAAAGGCTTCGCCCAGGACGGCCAGGCCAAGGTGAGCCAGCTCAGGCGCTCAGTGGGCCGCCACGGCTCCCTGTCTGCCGACGACAGCACACCCGACACGAGCCCCGGGGCCCGGCGCCGCCTGACCCGCAGGGCCGCCCCGGAGCCGGGCCCCGAGCCGGGGCCTGCGCCCTGCACCGAGCACGCAGTGCGCATGGGCCTGCGGGGCAGCGTGCGGCTGCTGGCAGAGTACCAGGCGGCCCAGGCGCGCCTGCGGGTGCGCTTGCTGGCCGCCGAGGGCCTCTACGACCGCACGTGCGAGGCGCGGAGCATCAATTGCTGCGTGGGCTTGAGCCTGGTGCCCGGCAAGCTGCAGAAGCAGCGTAGCACCATTGTCAAGAGCAGCCGCCACCCGGTCTTCAACGAGGACTTCTTCTTCGATGGCGTGGGGCCCGCGAGTGTCCGAAAGCTGGCCCTCAGGATCAAGGTGGTGAACAAGGGCAGCAGTCTGAAGCGGGACACGCTGCTCGGGGAGAAGGAGCTGCCCCTGGCCACCCTGCTCCCCTTCTCCTAAGGGCCGGGCGCCCCTCCCCTCTCCTCCCTCCCCACCCCTATCGCAGAGCAGGAGGCCATTTGCCGGCCCAAGGGGAGATGGGTTTAAAGTCAGACCGGTTTCTGGGCTGGAGGTTCTCTGGGTTGCCCATGGCGACCAGAATAATATTTTTCATGGATTACTTTTTTTGGAGGTGGAAGAGAGGGGCTGCCTGGGAGGGGAAAGGGCCGCTTTGCTGGGCTCAATGTCCCTGGTACCCCCAAGTTCCACACTGCCTCATGCCTTTCGGAAAAAGAATCCTCGCCAGGAGGTGGCCTAGGGGATCTCAGACCTGGAGGCCGCCAGTCCTGAGGCCCGGCTGAATCCTTTCTCTGCTGCACCTGTGTCCTCCTTTGCAGGCCTGACAGACTCCCCTGTGAGCAGTGCCAGGCCTGGGTTCTGCCAGCGGTGCCCCACGGGCAGTGGGAAGCACCCCCTCCCAGGTGAGGCTGGCTCCGGGCAGCCTTAGGTCCTCTCAGGCCCCTGAGGCAAGAGCCCGTCAGAGGGAGGAGGGTGACATGTCTGACAGCCCTACCTGGTAAGAGACAGCTGGAGAATGGAGACGGCAGTCCCAGAAGATGAAATCCTGAGCCGTTGCTCCTCTCCTGTCCCTGGGAGCGAGACAGTCCTGCTGTCGGCTGCTTTCCTTCAATGATGTTTTGGCTTGCTTTAGGCCCGCCCACCTGCCCCTGCCCTGGACCCCGCAGCCCTGCTGGGGCATCTGCAGCCTCCCTCCCTCGAGGGAGTTGCTCAGAAGGTGTCCAGGGAGCAACCCCCAGCCCCTATTCTTCCCTGCCCTTCCTTGGCCGCCGCCCTGCGGTCCTCCCGTGCCTTTGGCAGCTGGGTGCCAGGAAGTGGTGCCTGTTGACTGATGGACCGCTTTTATTGCACGTGTGTGAATAGGTTTTGGTTAGAGTGGGTGGGACAAAGTGAAGAGGGGCAGGCTGGGGGACCCTGGTGGTGGCTTTTCATGCTGCTAGGTGGCTACATGGGCTCAATTATTTTATCAGTGCGTGGGTCCTTGAAAGATTTTTATAGAGGTTTACCAGCTCAACCAAACAGAAACGGTAGTTTGAAGCAGGGGCCAGGCCGGCTGTGCCCCTCCGTGTGTCCCGGTCTTCCCGTTGGGCACCGATGGACCATGGGGATCCTGGGGGCCTCCCTGTCCAAACACTGCCCCTCCCAAGTCAGTTTTTCTAAATCCTGGGGTGGGGGGTGGTGAAGGAAAATGTGTTCCCATCTGCATGCCCACGAGACATCCCAGTGAGACTGGGAATGAAGGGCCCTTGGAGCTGGGGTCCCTTGCTGTGCCCCCCACCCTGGCCTCCATCCTGGGCCTGGGCTTTCTTGCAAACTGCTCCTGGCATCAAAGGGGATCCCCCTCACTCTGGAACGTGGGGGCCACTCAGGGCCAGAATTGTGGGCTGGAGGGCGCAACGGAAGTTCCTGCACTGAGTTAGAGGCTTGGAGCTTGCATCCCCTTCCCTTCTCTCTGACCCTGACCTTTCCCACCCCTTTTCCTGCCTGGCCTCTTTATATGCCCCCACACTGATTGGTATCTTTGTGCTCCACGTTGACTATGGGTAAATCTTTGAGACATCCTCCTCCAAGTGTGTTTGTTTATAAATGCTGTTTTTAGTGCAATAAAGGTGTTTCAGGAACGCGGGGGTGGAGATCTGCTTGTTTTGTTGTTTAATAACGAGAGGAATTTTGCCTTGAATTTCAGGGAGGATGGTGGGGTGACTTCAAGATCACTGAAGTCCTCTCAGCCCTTTGGGGACACGTGGGTCTCTCTCTTGCTTGGGGTGGAGACAGAGAAGCCCTGGGGATCCCCTGGCCCTGGTAAAAAGACAGTGAACAAATACTGAGCAGGTCTGTGTGCAGCCTCTGCATCAGCACACAGTGCAGGGCCATCGCGCTGCATTCAGAAACTCGCCCAGGGCAGCCAGGACTGGAAGCCACACCCTCACTGTGGACAACAGTGGGGGATGCCAGGGGCCTTCCCAGGCTTGTCCACTTGGGAACAAAGGCTGGGCATGTAGCGCCATCACTGATGGGACGCTGTTGGACACTGTCGGCTGCCAAGAGGAGTGTTCCCAGTGACCTGTGGCTTGTTCTCATCTGACTTGCCCAGTCCCTGCCATCAGACAGGAATCAGAAAGCATTTCAGCCGGAGGCCAGCCCCGACTCTTGTCATTCAACTTGGAGAACCCCTGGCCAGGGGCAGCAGGCAAAGCCCGGGTGCCAGGCATCCATATCTGTGTTTCACAGAGGCTGTTGCCCTTACTGGGATGCCTCCCGACCCCCAACTTTTCTGCTTTTAGGCTTCAGCTGATTTGGCACCTCCTCCAGGAAGCCTTCCCAGTCCTCTCACTGGGGAAGTGGCCTTTTCTCTGTGTGTCACGTGTCCTCCTATCTCAGCTCCCAAGCTGTCCAGACTTGTGTCTATCTCCATCGCCAGAGGTGGGACAGGTTCATCTTGATCAAAGGTGTCCCCAGTTCCAACACCACGCTAGGTACCCAGGAGGCTTTTGACTGGTGGTAGATACATGGAATGCCACAGCCTGACCCAGCTTGGGGCTCTGGCCAGTGAGCCGGGAGGAGTGCAGGGCGAGAGCCCACTACCGTCAGGCCCCTGCTCTCACCAGAGGACCTGCTGCTACTTTGGCAGCTGTTTTTAGTTTGGGTTCCCTCACCCCACCTTCCCAAGTCGTCCTTTGTGAGCATGCAGCCCCCCTGCCAAAGGGCATTTACTGAGCACCTGCTGTATGCTGGAAACAAGGTGCCCTTGGTGAGTCTCACAGAAGCCTGGCCGGGAAATCCTATGCCACAGGTGGAGAAGCCCAAAGCTGGGTGGGGGCATCAGGACGTGGCCCTACTGTGTGCCGCCGCCACTGCACCCCGGGCACATCTGCTGTCATTTGCTGGCCTCTTTCTCCCTGCCTTCTGCATGTGCATCCACTTCAGGGCTAAGGAGACTCGGGGGCAGAGGTCCAGAGAGGAGCTGGCCTTGAACTCATCTGCGGGAGGACAGGGGAGTGGCCAAGGCTCAGAGCTGGGCTCCTCTGTGAACCCACTGTCTCCCGGGGCAGGACTTGTCTCCCCCAACAGATCGCCAGTTCAGAGCTATGACTCTTGCTGTGAGCCCAGGACCGGCCCCTTCTTCCCCTCTTATCCCAGCAGGGCCCAGGTGTCAAGGCTGTCCCAAAACCACCAGGAGCCTGTGTGTTGGGCTGGGGTCCCGAGCAGCCCTCCACCTGCTGACAGCCCAGATGAGCTGTGCTAACAAGGCCCCGGCGGTCCTAGGATGTGTTGCCAGGGCAACTGGGTGCCTTATCGCCTCTTCCTCCTCACCAGCCACTCATTGCCGGGCAGCCTGTGTGTGCGTGTGTGGTCGTGTGTGTGTATGCCATGCATGCATGCACGCATGTGACCATGTGCCTTTGTGCCTGCGTGTAGCTGTGTGCCCTCTTATGTGTACATGTGTGCTTGTCAGTGTAGCCTTGTGTGTGTGACAGTGCAGTGGTGTTTGTGCACATGTCACAGTGCAGGCGTGACCACACGAGTGCTGCCATTATATGTGTTAGCAAGTGTGGTACATGTGTATTTGCATGCCTGTACAGGCTGTGCATGCATTTCTGTGTGCATGTGGGTAACCCTGTAAGCGTATGTACGTACATTGCTATAGAACAGCGTAACTGCATGTGTGTGCTTGTGTGTATGCTGTGGCTGCCCCGTGCTTTGGGATGTCCAGAAAGGCATAACAGGACCAGCATCTCAAGAAGCCCCCTCCCTCCCTGTCCAGGCTGGTTCCTCACTGGGATGGCCCTCGACCGTGTTTTCCCCCTCTGCCATCAGGTCTCACCCCTGCCCTCTTCCTCAGGGTGGCCCCACCTTGACGAGGTCTGACCTCCCTCGTGTTCCTTGCCAGCGTTGCGCTTGCCTTGTAGCATCAGCAGATCAGAAGGATCTGTCGTAGCACCTGCAGCTTCCCCGTGCTCAGCCCAGGGTGCAAACCAAGGAGGCGTCAGCTCTCCCCACGCAGCTGGGCTGCCTTCTGCTGTGGGCATCCAGGGCCACCCCCAGCAGCAGGCACCTGATGGTGCAAATCACAAGCCAGTGCCCCTTTCTCAGAGTGGAGCCGGCACAGGAGACCCAGAGCCAGATGTCTCGTGACCTGTGGGCACCTGGATCCAGGTGTGCCTGAAGCCCATGACTGAGCACCATTCAGTTCAGAGCCAGAAAAGTTGCTTTTTCGCTTAAGCCAGTTTCACTTTTCTTTTTTTCATTTGCAGCCAAGGCACACTGACCCGGTGAGTCTCCAGTAGGAACGAGGAGAACTGCCGCCCTAGGGGTGTGAGGCCCGACCTGGGGAAGGGAAGTCCTGAAGGAAGGACAAAGCCGCCGTCAGGGCATCGCTCATGCAGCGCTTTGCAGAAGCGGCAGAGCCTGAACCAGGGGAGGTAAGGGGCGGGTGGAGGCCCCCGAGACACAGGCAGGGCCAGGAATCCTGCCCTGTGGCATCTTGCCCCAGCAAGGCCACGGCCTGCCCGCAGCCTTGAACTCCACATGGGGGCCCTCCCTGTGCCCGGCACTCCACCGAGGGCCTGGAGATCTGAGCTCTGACATGCTGGGCAGGACCTGGTGGAGTGCAGCCCCAGTTTCCCACCTGGGCAGGTCACGTTGCTCGTCTGGGTCTTGGGTTCCCCTAGAGGGCCGCCTCTGCTGTGAGGGGCCACACTCCCATGTGCAAAGAGCCCGATGTCACTGTGGATAGAGGACAGTTAGCATAATCGCATCAGGAGGAAAGCTGTAGGCTGCCTTCCTCCTTCCGGTGCACCTGCCCCCTTCCCCCTGTGTGGGACTCAATTAAGCTTTTGTTTTCTTCTCAGCTCCTGCTGCTGGGAGGGAGTGGTTGCTGACAGGAGGAGAAAAATGACTCCAATAAAAAGGAACCGCTCCAGAGCATTGACTCTCAAAGCGCTGTCCCTCCGGATGCAGGGCCTCTGTGCCCTCTGCCACCCTGTGGCCATGGGGAGCCTGGCGTGTTTGTCCAGTGGCAAAGGCCTGGGTCCTAGCTCCACCACTCAGCTGGCTGCCTGGCTGCTGGGGCTCAGTTTACCCCTGTGCGCTGAGATGCTCAAGCTTCTACACATGTGCAGCAGGAGGGGGTGACCTGCTGAATCCTCACCCGGACTCTGGCCCCGTGCACACCTAAGGAAACCAAGACATTGGGCGGAAAAATGGCCTGTCCAGAAGTGCCCAGCTGGCAGGGAGCAGGATGGCAATTCAAACCAGGGCTGGTGCATTGACCCTCCCCGCTGCCTGCCCTGGGAGGTACTGACCCCTGCCCTCCAGGCCCCTGTGACTCAGTTTCCTCTCTAGTACTCTACATCATGCCCCATGCTGGAACATGCATGGCACCCAACTGTGGTGCTGGGAGAACTGCAGACCCTGCCCGAGGGCTGTGGGGTGACTGGTGGGAACTTTGCCTTGCCCAGAGGGACTGGGAGTTCCCTCCAGAGACCAGTCTTGGTCCAGAGTGTGGCCCTGGGACACCGAGGCAGTGGACCTGGGCACTGAGGTTGGCACATGTGCAATCCACCTAGCGGGCCTGTGTTGGAGCCCGGTGGCAGTGGTGCCCATGTGCTTCTCCTGGGCCAAGGTGGCCTGCAGAGCCAGAGCCCTGCTAGTCCCTTCTGGAGAATCACTGGGCCTGAGGGGGCGGTCTGTGGACCCCTGAAGTTGCAGTTGGTGTTTACAAGTGGAGACTGTGCCCTGTTTCCAGCTGTACACCTCCAGGTATACCCCCAAGTCCCCCAGCCATGCCCTTCCTGGGAGCTCATGGCCTGGGTTGCCATGGTGATGTCTGAAGCCACCAGACCTGCTCCCCAAGTCCCAGGATGAGGCCACCCTCTGCCTGGTGTTTGAGTGGCCCAGGGGCTCTGGTCCCCACAACCAGCTGTGGCCTCCCAGCCCGACCTGGCTCCCCACACGCCCCACAGAGGACCCCGAGCAGCACCCTCCCCCTCCCTGACCCTTAGTGTCCCCTTGAGGAAAGGTGTCATGGTTGCCCTCCACTCTGGGGGCTTGGGAGGTGGCAAAGTTTGGTTTCCACAACATGCATAGCATGAACCTCATGCACCCGTGCAGACCAGCAGGTCGCAGAGCCACTTCAAAGGGGACCGAGCTGTGTGAATTCTAAGTTCAAGGGAAACAGGGCTGATTCACAGCCTTCCCAGGGCAACACCATAGCCTTGAGAACAATCTTCCCATTTAGAGCCTGTCAGCTCCAGGTTCACGTCCAGCTCCCCCAGTGGGACATACGCTAGGGCAGAATAAAGGACAGGTGCCCTCCCTGGGTATTGGTGACCCGGCGGTGGCCTGACTGCTTGGGCTCTCGAAGGCGGATCTCACCTGGGGGATTCGTCCCCAAGGGCACACTGGATGCTGTCTGGGGATGTCTGTGGTAGTCACAGCTGGAAGTGCTCCTGGCATCTTGTGGGGGGTGCTGCTCGCCCCCCAGAGCCCAGCACAGTCCTCAGAGGACCACTTGCGGACTCGGCAGTGCTGCGTGGGGCGGGGGATGCACCTGGTTGAGGATGACCCTGAAGGACAGGAAGGATGACTTTCCCCTTTCTGAGTTCTGGTTAA